TAGATTTGTCTGCGGAATTTCGTTATAGTGAAATCATTAAGGTTTTTTTGTCAAAAGCATTTTAGTTTTGGTCTTATATTAATTTAAAATATTCCTTTATACAAGCTCTATCTTTGAAATGGAATAAGATCATTCTAAATTTCAGAATTCCGCTATTGCCCATGAAAATGACTGGAAGAAAGCGATCTAAAGACAACAATGGAAAAGAGAGGTAACTCATCGTAAACAAAATAGCTCCAGTTTGTTCACCTTAGGAAACTTAGCATTGCAGTCAAAGTATTTTCAGTGGCGACAGTCTGTTTCAGGCTCAAACGCAGACCATAACGATTGCGTTTAGCAGAAATAATAACTTCTAGATTATATTTTAAGAAATTATATTAATAAAGATATGCACGGAAACGTAGTTTTGGTGTCGACCTATACAGTAGTTATAAGCCTGACCCAGAATTTTGAACTAAAATTATGGGGGTCGACTTGTACGCCGCAATCTCGTATATGTTTATATGGGTATGTGGACTTGTATACATGGGTGTATAATAAATATATATATATATATAATGGCCTGAGAATTTTCTGAGTGTTGACTTCAATGTTCACTTCCATATTTACATACACTTTATCTCATAAATATAGCACAACTTACAACTATATTTCTTTATATACATGTTTATATATATATATATATATATATATATATATATATATATATATAATGTGTGTGTAAGGATGTATTAATCTCATTGCATTATCGTATGGAACTAGTGGTTTTTTGTTTATTATTTTAGGATTAACTACCCACCCTCCACAAAAAATAAACAGTTTATAGTTCGTAAACATTTGCCAGCACATAATTTTCAAACAAAGCTTTTTTTTTTTTTTTTGTAAGCCCATTATAAAATCAGTTTTATTTTGTCGACAAAACGCTCTCTAAACTTGAAAGCACAAAAATAAATAATGTCTACATAAGAACATACGCTTAAGAAAGAAAATGCACTTAGAAGGAAGGTGCTTGATTTTGAATTTTCTTTGTCTCTTAAGGCAACGCCGAATATTTGTCCCTTTTACCCAAACAAATCCAAACGAGAAATTCAAAAATTGTTTGGCTGATTAAAAAGAACAAAAAAAAGTTTGTTTCGTTCCAGAAACCAAGAACAAAAGTTGGGTATTACGCGAACAGTATCAAAATCTCTAAGAATCCTCCTGATTTCAGTAAAAAAAATTCTTTAAATAATCCATGTGCATCTTAGAGTGTTTATAAGCATTCTTTGATTCTGTTATATCATCGATCGCGTCATATTACAATCGCAATAATAAAGTTTGGAATTTCGGGATTATTACATATATTTCTGTGTGGCGGGGGTTTCTCTCTTCCTTTCATATATATATATATATATATATATATATATATATATAGTCGAGGGTGTAGTCTTTTCTTGGGTAATTTTGTCTCATATTTGAGACTGCAAAAAATCTTCTTGGACTTTTCTCACTTACCCTCACCACCACTCGACATCCACTAAATATGAACTATTTTGACCTTTTTCTATTTTTATTTCTCCTGCGCTCCGTTCTTTATTGCATTAAAAAAAAAAAAATATTTTCAATTCAAGACATTCTTACTTTCTGTGCTCTTCGGATATATTTACCATTCCATTGCAAAGTTATTTCATATTATTTTCTTATCTTTTTTTTTCTTATTTTAAAATCTTTGATTATTTAATCATTAATATTATTTCCTTTATTTATCATTCCAGTAGTTTTTATTTTAATAATTATTTCTCTTTGTCGGCGATAGTTTCGTTTCCGCAAAGGTCGCATCAGACTGCCTTTAGTTTTGCCAATTATTTTCTTTTGGATATAGACCAGACTCCAAGCATAACAAGGAAATTGAATGGCCAAACGTTTCATGTGGAATTGATTCTTACCGCCCCCCCCTCCCTGCGCAGTGTATTCATTTCCTAATCTTCCGAAATATCCTTTGTAGATATCGGGTTACATCATAAGAACTTTAAGACGACAGATTAAAGTTGTAGGATTTTCCCTTAAAAAAAAAATTATATAATCTTCTTTAGAATTATTATTAGTTATAGTAGTATTTGGGGGCTCAGATCATATCCATTATAGGTTTGGCTGTGGCTGGATAAATTGTATTGGATAGATGCTAAGGAGTTAGTATTTTATGGTTTATTATTTTTAATACTTACCTTTTTGCGGATGTATATTCTGTATTTTTTTAAATCGGTATCGCCCCAAGCAAAGCAGTGCAGCCACTAGTACGCCAAGGGTTACAGGGGTGGAGCAATTAGGAACAGAAACATTAGTAATGAGTAGAAAGAGTAACCAGGAGGATAGTAGATAGTGATTGACACTGCATTTAAATTTTTGCTGATTAAACATGGCTGGAAAGCATGTTGCCAGAATTAAGTTCCGCAAGCGACAAGTGCGAGAAAAGAAAATGTTAGCATAGAAGTTACGGCTGCATCTATCTAGCTCAACTGTAAATTGATGAGACCTCGCCGCCAGTCTAGTATTGAGCACGAACTCATATAATCTAGGTAACATAACGAAGAGTTCACCCGAATAATTACCATGAAAGTATTTATTATTAATTAAAAAAAAAGGTACAGGGAGTCAACCTTACGGCGGTGGGAGAGTGACTAAAGCCGAGCAGCTAGATCAGGATCAATAATATTACTGATTTTTCTTTGAATCTAAGGAGCTCCAGGAAGATAGCAAGGGCACCGGACCATATGTGGCAGCAATATTCTAAGCGTAGACGAATGGTAAACTTATAGATATACAAGATAGATTCCTAAGAGAAAAAATTGTCTCGACTGGCACAGTGAACCGACTTTCCTAGCAGCTGACCTAGCAATGGATTCAATATAGGCTTTTCATTTCATATCAGCTGAGAACGTTAGACCGAGAAGGTTCAATAAGTTAATTTTCTGGAGGATAGCATCAGTAATGAGAATATTGTAGGTTTTTGAATATATTTTCTATGCATTTTTTCTTCGTGTAAGTATTGGATCCTGCAGATTCTTAATGCTCTTAAACAGAATTTTATACTTATTCCAGATTTATTTCCTGTTACAGTGATGAGAATATAAATTTACCAGGTCATCTTTGTTCGTAGCTTTTATGTAAAACTCAAACTGAAGTTCGTTATTAATTTCCATGCAGTATGATATCTAGGAAGGTTAAAGTTGTTGTTAGGCACAGATTTAAAACTAAAGTCTGCTGTGGGTTACGACGTTAAGTTTGTTTACAAAATCATATTGTTCATATATTAATAGAGAATCATTTATGTACCTAAAATAAGAAATTTGTGGTAAAATATTTTTGAAAGGACCTCTTCCCAGAAATTACAACCGCATTCAAAACAATTATGGATATGATCAGAACCCCATAATACCCATAACAACAATTCTTATATATATATATATATATAAATATAGTCTTAATATGTGCTGTATTTATGGGATAAAGTGCTTAATATAAGAGTGAACATAGAAGTCAACACTTAGAGGCGACAGTCTGCTTCATGCTAGATGCAATCGTAAGGCCTGACCTTTGGATCTAGCATAAAACAGACTGTCGCCTCTAAGTGTTGATTCTATGTTCACTTATATATGAGAAGTTTGAGAGTTTGATCTATCTATCTATCTATCTATCTATCTATATATATATATATATATATATATATATATATATATATATATATGTATGAGGTGTTCGGACTTTCTTTGAAATATTCCTGAAAGAATTACTGCTTTCACAACCCAACATACATGAATAAAATGTTAAAACATTAAAAGGAAACTGTTAAAATCATAACCCTCCCCTATTTGTTAAAATATATAATACACACATTTATCCCAATGTAAGCTAGGAAAGTTTACTGAATAGAATAATCAAACGAAGGTTGGTAATGAACGCTAATTCTTAGGACAAGAACAACACATATAAGATTCGCCAGCGGCGCGTAGTAGTCAACTGCTAGAAGTGAGTTAAGTGAATTCTACAGCGAATCTCCACTGGTAGGTTATTTCCCCAATCTCCACACGAGGCAGGATGCGGCACCTGGCCAATTTTTGTGTAGGGCAAAACCAAGCCCGTAGGGTCGGGCAAAAATTTCCTGTAGACCTCGTCTACACGGGGTGGGGTCTGTCTACATTCCCGGATGAGACACTGCGGTTTACCAACATTGAGTATTCACTACTGTATTTATGCCAATGGGGACATACCCATTATCGCCCATAAGTATGATATAGCACTAAAATAAAATAATTTCCGTATTAATTGCATTAAAAAAATATTAACATCATTTCGTCACGTTCGTTTATTAGAAATTAAATTACGCCACTTAGCAGCTTCCATAATTTAACTAAACTTTTCAATTAACTTCGTTATTTATGTGCCTTTCTTAAATTTTAAAAAATTTTGAAAAACTAACATTTTTAATTTTTGTTTATAAGTACTTACCTCAAAATAAAATCTATATTCGTCATGATAATGTCCATCAGAAGACGAAACGCGTCGGCTAAAATAAGATTTCTTTTTTCTTTCATATATAATGTATGTAATTTAAAAATTATTTTTATCATCGTTATCTAACAGGAATTTTTTCGATTTCTATCTTCTCTGCTTATTTAAGCATGATCTGTTCTGACGTTAGTTGGAAGAAGGGTGTGGGAGAAGCAGGTTTCCTGCCCATATCCCCACACAACGCACCCACCTACTCTCTCCATTAATTTCTTAGATCGTCCACAGCCATACCTAAACCAAATAATAATAATAATAATAATCCCTTTTTTTTTTTTTTTTACCCATAACAGCTGATTCCTTTTATTTTACCTCCTTTTTAAATTTAACTCTTTTAAGGATCTTTCTATATGGCAGTTCCAAAATAATTCTCGGGGCCGATTCCAGTTTCTTGGGTCACGTTGCCTTCCTAATCGGATAAAGATGCTCTTCACCAATTCCACGGTTTGGTTGGTATGCAATCCTTCGACAAGCTCCACATCCCTACCGCTGCTCCCACCCACATCCCTTCGCCGAGTCTGTCTGAGAGGGAACCAGACCCTTTCCCTCTCCTCACCCCACCCCGTCAATGGGTAGCGGATGCTTGCATGGCTTAGCAAAAGTGGGGGGAAGGAAGGAAGAATGAGTGTCGAGTTTTGTCAAACAACTTCAATATTCCGCAGATGAAGAAAGTTACTGACATTAAACCCACAACAACAATGAGTACAGTGTCTCCAATTATGGATTCCTAAACTTCTGAATTTGCCAGGAATTTCTCTGCCATTGTTGGAATATATTTGCTTTTCGCTTGTTTCTTCGTCGTCTTGTCTTGTCTAATCCACTACAAATATTCCAGAAATTGATAATACTTAAAAAAAAAAAAAAAAAAAATGACAATTTCTTAAAATCTTATTTTAGGTTCTTGTTTATTGCGATTGTTTCATTTTGTTTCGCTTTGAGAGAGTAATGTTTATTTATTTGGGCTAAAATTAAGCATTGATACTAACGAACACTGATGAATACTTTTTGGAAGACGGATTAGAAAATCAGAGGGTTAAGGGTGGAACCGTTATTTAAAACGCAGAAACTTTTAAAGTCGGTTTAATCCTTAAGAATTCAGGTTTAAGGTATTTTTTTATGACTCATTGCATATTAGGTCATCTCTCTTTGTAAATCGTAGTCTGTTATGTGAAGAAAATTGTTTAATCAAAATAATAAAAAATGTATTTTTTGTCTTACGAAAAATCTTCGAGACATTCATTTAAATAGTAACAAATACAAAAAAGACAAACGTTTACATTTTTCCTTTTGCGAAACAATTGCATTTTAAAATAGTTTAAAATAAACACGTTTTATTCAATTCTTTGTATTGTTTTAGTGTTCTCGGGTCTTTTGAAAAATCTTTTTTTTTCTTATTCTATTTAACAAGAAATTAAAAATTTCTCTTTAAACCAAAAAAGAATTCTATATAAGAATTAATGTAAATTGTCAGTGGCTGAAGCTGTAATTAAATTTAGCGAAAATATTTTTGGCAGCAGCTTTTAAAATATAACTTCTCCAGGAAAAAAATAGGGAAAAATATTTTAACTCTTAGTAAGGGTCGAAAAGCAATAAAGTGTTCTCCATCAATATAACATTATATAAATGTTTTTAGACATGGTTTAAAATATGCTATATTCATGGAAGAAGTGCGACCAATATCGGAGATAGAACGTTTGCAGATAAAGAGAATAAGTAGGAATCAGTACTGCATAAAGACAGTCGGTTGCACGCTGCAAATGTAAAGATCATCTAGAGACATGAAACTGACGCGTACGCCATATATATATTTTTTTTTTCTTTAAGGAATTAATTTTTCATTTGTTAATCTGACATATTTTAATTTATTGCTAAAACATTATTTTTAATAGATAGCCATATTTGAGGAGATAATCTGTTTTATTTATTTATTAAACTGTATATCACCTGAGGATACTTTAAGATTTAAACCAACGTAGCGGATTCAACTGACCTCCTAATTTTTAAAATTAAAAACTCTACATGTTATTTTTTATTTTATTTCATTTTTTTCACACGTGTATTGATCACTTTTAATAATGCTTTTTCCTAGTCTGATTCAACTTTGACCCTTAACCGTTATATATATATATATATATATATAAAGAAAGGACAGTAAGATATATAATCTGGTGTTCTTATCGATATTTTTTATTTTTATAAAACCGTGCTCAATGTAAATTTACAGAGCATAAATATTATAAATTAACCATATTTTATATCAGTTAATTTATATATATATATATATATATATAGTGTGTGTGTATTCACAGACCGATTGTTTCGTTGTATCACAGCTCCTCAGTGTGGCTAGACATCCAATCGCTTCAAGCCGAAACCCGACCGATTTGGTCTCAGTCGGAGATTCTAACCCCTAGGTCACCGATGCTCGGCAGAATTTTTGCGTATTTATTTTTTCATAAATACGCCAGTGACCTAGAGGACTAACTCCGTTCGGACAGTCTTGTGTGTTAATTTGAAATAGTTTTTGAAGCCGAAATTGCAGGTTTTTCAGTGGTCTGTTGATAAGGAAGCATTTAAGGCAAGCAGGCTTTGTGGTAGAGTCCTCAATATCGAAGACAGAGACAGAGCGTTAATAGAACGGATATATATATATATTTTTTTTTTTTCAATTAACTCCTGTTTACTTCGGAGTTTTGTAGCTATATGTGTATAACCATTCGTCGGAACAGAGTTAATCTGCTGATTAAGCAGATTAACTCTGTTTGAGCAGATCAACTCTGATTAAGCAGATTAACTCTGTTCCGTCGAGTGGGTATACACATATAGCCACGAAACTCGGAAGTAAACAAGAGTTAAGTGAAAAAAACAAACTTTTCCATATTAATTCTCTATATATGTTACTATAACTCAGACTATTTTTTAATTCTTTTTAGAGCCAGAAAAATGTCTAGAATCCTAGAAAACAAATAAATCTTCTGAGAATTTTTGTTGATCTTTGACCAAATCTGTTTAATAATAGTATGCATAGATGCAGTTTGACCTCAACGCTTTCTGCGTCAGTAGCATTTCAAATGTTATACTTCCATAATCATCTTTGTCTGACACAAGGACATTAATATAAAGTATTTCGTGAAGATCAATGTAATTGACTGCTTGTCAATTGATACGCTTGTACGAGCCTCTACGAAGAGGCATTTAAATGATATTATGTTTTCTTTAAAAAAAAACATAATAGAATGAAAGCCATTTGATAAGTGGATACAAGCCGTGCTAGATGCAATAATGTAGACTTTCATTCCATCGAATTATTTTCTTTCCTTTTTCTTTTTTTTCCTTGAACTTCGTCGACAAATTTTATAATCATGCAAAAATGTTACTCTAAAATTACCTCCCTTGTTTCGTTGTAGAAAATTCTCAATCCTAAAAAATAAAAAAGTTTAAATTGTCATTTTTATTTTTGACTATTTCGTACGATAAAAATTAAATAAACTATGTGAAATATTCTGTTGAAATGTTCGCAATGAACCTTTAATAAGAACATTGGAATGTCACGAATTCCTTCCGCGACTGGATTCCTTGGAAAAATTTGAACGCAACTCTAAGAGAAAATTATTTTCAAGCAAGTCTCTATCAAACCCCTGCAAAACCTTAGGAATCAAAAGTTAGTTTTGGACCCATGGAGTAAAGGTTAAAAGGAAAATAAAAAGGGAGAGAAAAAAAAATGTAAAATTTTAATAATATCAGAAATTCCAGTATTTGGACAATTTCAGATATTACTACGAACGCCATCTTGGAATCGTGCTTTCTTGTCTGGTTCATAAAATGAGAAACACGAACAAGATAAAATTTTCTTCTGCAAGTAATTTTCAAAGGTCAAACGAATTCCCAAAAATGTTTTTTTTTTTTTTTTTTGTTTTCTATCTATTTTTATTTTTCATTTCTCTCCTTTTCACTTAAAAAGAATACTTCTGTGTGCCCTGTCAGTTCAGGACGTAAAGATCATAGCTCTCTACAACTTCCTCTCTTTTATAGCTCTTAGCAATGTTCTTTCTCACCATCCCTCTGTCTCGTATGGTACGTTATTCGCCTCTTGTCTTCAATATGTCATGCAAGAGTCAAATTCCACAGTCCTCTTTCTCCATTATGTGTCTTAAAAATATAATCTCTCTTCCCTAGTATAAACGTCCATTTTGTTTTCGTTTTCCTTAAAACTTCCTCGTTACTCACATGTTCAGTTCACGTAATTCTCAGCATGCTTCTGTAGAACCACATTTCAGTTCCCGCAAGTCTCTTCATCTGTGAGAAGATTGTCCAGCATTCGCTACTCTAGCGGAGGATTAATATAACATTCGTTCATACTTTGAATACTGCTGCCACATCTGGTCTGGTAGTCCTGCTATATATTTAGAGATTTTTGATAAAATCCAAAGACAGCAATGTTAATGGTACTGACCTGGCATCTCGGCTTGAGTCCCTTTCCCATCGCCGTAACGTAGATCTACTGTGTCTTTTCTATGAATACATTCATGCTAATTGTTCTGATAAACTCTCTGCTATGGTACCTAGTTTCGTGAATGTAAAGCGCAGTATTACATTGGCGGCTAGGTCTCGTCATTTTACCATTAAAATGGCTGGATGTAACCGTAAGTTCTATGCTGAATGTTTCTTCCATCGCTATCGCACTTCTCGATCGTGGAACTCTCTTCCGGTTTCTTGTTTCCCGGTCAAGTTTGATCTTCAAAAATTTAAATGCGATGTCAATTGTTGTATTCTGTCTTAATTTCTGTGCTTTTATTGTCTTCTCTTCTTAAACTCTACTCTAGATTCTGAAGTTAGTATAAAACTGAGGAAATAATCATAAAAATCATTCGTTCATTTTTCGTGTGTGTGTGTGTGTGTGTGTATATATATATATATATATATATATATATATATAAATAAATGTGTGTGTGTGTGTGTATATATATATATATATATATATATATATAATTTTGTGACACTGGGTTTCAAGATTTTGCGATCATCAGACACTCTGATGATCGTGAAATCAGGGGCACTGAACTTCTATCCATACAACTAAAATATATATATATATATATATATATATATATATATATATATATATTTCTTTTGTAGTGAGATGTTCAAAGTATTTGGTGCAACAAAATAGAAATAGTCGGTATGGAAATATTTTTCACAGGCTTCACACTCATCTTAGGCGATTGCAGAAACTATTTCCCGAAGGGATTCTATAAATGTGACAGTTTAATGGGAGAAAAACAATTCCAACAAAGATTTTTGTTGTCTGTCGGAAGTTAAAGGACGCAATTTACGTTCAACGTTTTCAGACCCATCACCTTACACCAAATTGTTTCTTAGATTTTTTTTTTTCTTGTTTCATCTGATTTTTCTCTGCTGACCCCCACGCCCAGATTTCTTGGAAAGAATTGTTTACCTGTGTCTCCCTATAAATGCTCTCTACGCTTGGTGATATCAACGTCTGGGGAAATATCTCTCTCTCGCTCTCTCATATATAAATAGCTTGTTCGACCCCCAACTGCGCT